GACCCCTTCCTCTGCTGCCACGTCTGCTCGCTCCTGAAACATTGCCTCCTCTGCCACTCCTCTGCGTGTTGTCTGACATACTCTTTAATTCAATAAGCACCCCAAAAATAAAACCGGATTTAACTCTTTGAACGTACAATAGTGGTTGTGAAGCAGAAAGAAAGTCAGTTTATTTAGCACAATTCGGTCAATTGCAGCTTGCCGTTGGCTGGAAACTGTACGTTTATGTCACTGGAATGCACTAATCACCCAAAAAATATTACCGCCACCCGGCGTGTAAATGGATATAACTCTTTGAACGTACAATAGTGGTTGTGAAGCAGAAAGTCAGTTTATTTAGCACAATCGGTCAATTGCAGCTTGCCGTTGGCTGGAAACTGTACGTTTATGTCACTGGAATGCACTAATCACCCAAAAAAATATTACCACCACCCGGCGCGTGTATATGGATTTAACTCTTTGAACGTACAATAGTGGTTGTGAAGCAGAAAGTCCGTTTATTTTGCACAATCGGCAAACTGCAGCACCAACTGTGCACAGCCACCAAAAAAAAAAAAGGGTGTATGTCACTTTAAATTTTCGATTCTTTGATAGCTGTGGCCCTGAGTAACGATTCTGTGTCCCTGAGTAACGATTCTGTGGCCCTGAGTAACGATTCTGTGGCCCTAAAGTCTCTGTGGCCCTAACTCTGTCCCTTAATACAGACAGGTCTGTCTCTCTTGAATGACCGGAGGCTAATGGAGAATTCTAAGATGGCCGCGATTTATAGCTCCACCATTACACAGTGCTGGCTGGCTGCTGATTGGCTAATGCGATCACATGTCATGATTCATGACTCATGAATGCATTATGGGTCAGCGCGCCTTGTCTGCGCGCCTTCCCAGAGATCCCCACCCCATCTTCTCTGTCCATTTTCTCCTGTCGCCACACATGTCGCCGCCATTTTTGGGAAAATTCGATTCGTGCATCCGAAGTTTGCTAATCTTCGGATTCGTCGCGAATCGAATTTTTCCCAATCTTCGGAACGAATTCCACTTCGTCATGTTCGATTCGCTCATCTCTAGTAGTAAGGCTCAGTCTAACTATTCTTAAAAAAGTTTCCCCCACCCTCCCCCTATCTATTTTGCATACCATGTATAAAAAAAGATCTGTTTACTTACCTTTTTTAATCTAGACTAGCTGCATAATTCAGCAGCTCTGGTTCCCTTGTGTTAGGGAGTGCTCAATAAAGTCTGTGAATTCCCAGAGTGATAATATCACCAGGGCGGACTGACCATTTGGAAACTTGGGCACTGCCCGAGGGCCCCGGGGTCGGTAGCGGGCCCCATGAGATGCCCCTGGTACCTTTTTCATAGGGTTTTTTGAGTTTGGGCAAGGACACAGGGGCCCCATGATCCCCTATTGCCTGGGGGCCCTATGAGTTGCAGTCCGCCCCTGAATATCACCAATGCGCTCCTGTGCCCCAGCAGTTGTTGGCGCTCCCTCCTCTACCCTACAGCAGCTGCTCACTGACACAGGGGAGCTGGAGCTGCTGATCATGTGACTGGACCAGATTAGATTAAAAATAGATAAGTACACAGATCTTTTTTATACAGAATAGATAGGCAGAGGGAGGAGGGAATGTTATTAGCAAAAGTTAGAGACTTTTCTTCCACTTTAAGCTGTTTCTCACCAGTCATCAAGGATGGCCAGCACCAACCAAGAGGGTAGTTAAAACTGAACTTGCATGCTTATCACTTAGGCACCAAGCAATCAAGCGGTGGTGGTTATGCAAAGAACTATGAATTTCTGAAACTTCTGAAGCTAATGTTCTACATCAAGGGAGTTATTAAATTACAATTCATCCTTGTCACTCCCAATGGAGCTCTGCCCAATGCAGGAATGCTCAGTGTTCCAGAACAGGACACTTGTTGCCCCTCTGTGGCACTGGTACAAGGGAGGAAGCACTGCAACTGCCTTCATGGTGAACCAAATTACTTATCCCTACTGCCCTCCCCCCTCTCATTCCAGGCCTGATTACACCAATTGTTCTCTATATGATATGTCCAGGTATGACTAGCACCAAACCGGAGCAAATCTGTTGAATTTTGTACTGTCCACAAGCAAAAAGAAGTATCCAAACTGCCATGCTATCCCAGAGTACCTTCAAAATGCATATGTAATAAACAACATTTTTTTTTTTCACTGGTCTCGTTCTCAGCAATGTGTGAGAATGTACACCCTGCAACATTATATTAATATTTAAAGCCTCTGAAGAATTCCAAAAAAAGACAAATCACAAAATTTGAGTTTATGTATCTTTTATGTGTGGCTTGCATTCCTTTTTTAAATGTTGTGACAAGGCAAGTGAAACAACAGGGAATTACCTAAATATGCACATTTTAAAAATTTGTACAAAACGCATGGCTAGGTGGTAAAACATATTTACCACTTCAATACCGGGCATTTTTACGCCCTTCCTGCCCAGGCCAATTTTCAGCTTTCAGTGCTCTCACAATTTGAATGACAATTACTCAAGTCAAGCAACACTGCATCCAAACAAAATTTGTATCATTCTTTTGAAACAGTGCTTTCTTTCGGTGGTATTTAGGCCAAATTTTATATTGCTACATTTCTTTGGTAAAAAATAACCCAAATCAGTGTATATTATTAAGTCTGTGTGAAAGTTATAAAGTCTACGAGCTATGCCACGTATCAGTGAAAATTGATCAGTCCTGATGTACTGACTGTCCATCTCAATTCTTGAGGCCTTAAAATGACAGGACAGTAAAAATACCCTCCAAATGACCCCTTTTTGAAAAGTAGACAGTTTAAGGTATTTAGTAAGAGGGATGTTAAGTTTTCTGAAGTTATAGTTTTTTCCCACAATTCTTTGGAAAATAAAAAAATGAAATAAAATGTGTTCTTTTTTTTCACAAAATCATCATATTAACAAGTTATTTCTCTCACATGGCGGACTGACCATTTGAGCACTGCCCGAGGGCCCGGGGTCAGTAGGGGGCCCCATGAGATGCCCCTGGTACTTTTTATAGGCTTTTTTGTGTGTGGTTTGAGTGTGGACGAGGACATAGGGGCCCCATGATCCCCTATTGCCCGGGAGCCCCATGAGTTGTCAGTATACCCCTGCACACGACATAGGCATACTTGCAATTACACCCCAAAATACATTCTGCTACTCCTCCTGAGGTGACCACATCTGTGAGACTTTTTCACAGCCTAGCCACATGGAAAGGCCCAACATCCAAGGAGCACAAGGAGAGTGGAAACACCCACAAAAAAAACATTTTGGAAAGCAAACACTCAAATGTATTTTCTATGAGGCATAATGAGTCTTTTGAACATGTCATTTTTTTTCCACAAGCTTTTTGCACAAAGGTGTCAATTTAGAAGACATTTCTAACAGAGCATGGACATACCATACAATAAGTGAAAATAATTTCAAAAATCAATTTCTGAAAAATTTTCTGTGTTGACTTGAACACCTGGCTGTGTGGTAAAAGGGGATATTGAAGCTGATCCTGAGTTGAAAGGCAGTCATAATGGGTTCGCAAGTGCGTCTGGGAGATATGTATAGGCCCTAATTCTTGGGTTCTGATGTGATAGCCCAGTATTAGTACTGGGACTTTCATGCAGGGGTCTAGACCCATTGGCGTTTGTTGATTCACCATTGGGGTGTATGATGCTGCTGGTGGTTGTCTGGTTATCAGAGCATCTTATCCTTTTTAGAAGCACTGTTTCCTCCTCCGATTCGGTCACTGATTCACCAGTTTTGATGGGTTTGTACTCCAAATCAGAATGTGGGAGATCCCCACTGTTTTCATCCTTCATACTAAGATTTGGAAATGCCTCCTCACTAGTATAACATTTTTTGGACATGGTGACTCTGAAGACACTGAAACAGGAACACATGACGGTTGTATGACGGATAAACTGCTGATGGCAGTTTTTGTGGGTACACTGCTGATGGCGGCACTAATGGTGACTCTGACGGGTACACTGATTAGGCTGTACTGAATGCTGCTGTCACAGGTACACTTTACTCCAGGGCAATCAGGGCAGTGTTGTGCACAGTATGGAAGGGGTTAAACTGGTAACTCATGGTTCCCCGATTCTCTTCCTCACTCAGGATCTGTGTGAGGAGGAGAAGCTAGTAACTGTGAGTTACTGGTCCTTGTTTACTTTTGTGATTGGCTGTGATTAGACACAGCAATCCCTGGTAAAAAGATGCTGTCATTGGCTCTTTACCCTGATTGGTGATGCGCTGTGTCTGAGGGACACAGCTCACCACCAATCGCCTTTGCTGCATGCCCCGGGGGGGGGGGGGGGGTGCTTACAAGTGGCAGGTCTGGGAGGATGTCATTTAGCTATAGGCTGGGCAGGAACCGGTTAAACTTGTATTCTATAAAAACAATATATAAATATGCTTGTACTTTATCCAAACAATGTGCAAGGACGTTGATATGCTTGGCCTGAAGTGCTAAATTTAGGGAACACTACAAAAACGAATTAGTGTAAATAACTCAGAAGAAGTGCTGTTGCCTGAACTGTTACAAATAAAAGTTCTTACAGTCTCTGCTTTGTGCAATTGATGCAAGTTTATTCCAATACAGTATTTGCATCTGTGATATCGGGGATTCTTAGCTCAATGGTAGATGCATTTTTTAGGGAGTTCACGCCAGACAGGAACTAAACTTAAGGGCCGGGTAGCCCACTTTTATTAAACAGTAACTGAAAAGTCCTTCAACACAAGCAGGGGGTTTCAACTTCACTCAAAATACACAATGAAAATGCCAAGCCACCTGGCTCTCTGGTTAGCAGTACCTCTGCTTGGCTTGGTGTCTCAGACCACTGGCTATTCAGGCTCTCTCAGCCTAGGTGACAGCTCCTTGCTGTTCAGGTCCCACATGGCTTTTTGACAGAGTTTTCCCTGTACCTTAGCTTGCTTCCTCACGGATTCCTTCCAGCCCCTTGGACTCACTGGCCTCTGCAGCTTCCTCCGCCTCCCAGTTTTGGTCTCCCAAACTCTTGTAGCTGGCCAGACTTTCCCAGTCCTTGGGCCTAGAATCTCCCTCACAAGGGTTGTAGTCTCCACCAGGAGCTTCCAGCTCTCCTGACAGGACTCTATATTCAGGCTTGTAGCAATAACAACTGCTATTCCTCCACCACCTTTGAGCTATGCTCATATCTGCCTTATAACGAGTATGTGCACCTGGACACACACACCCTGCAGAACTTCTGAAAAACCTGGACACACACACCCTGCAGAACTTCTGAAAAACCTGGACACAAGACTGAAGCCTCCGTCCCACCCAATACTCTTTGGAGCTTTCAAGTTTACAGCCCCGATCCACTTACTAAATCCAGGGAAAGCTTAAAACATAGCTTTCTCTGCTTGCAAAATATTTGCTGGAGACTCTCAAACTGACTGTTTGAGAGTCCTGTGTCCTTCTCAAACCCATTTCCACAGTGACAGAGCCTCACACTGTCACACATCTAAAAATTATAATGGTATCTTAAAAATCACATTTTTGTTTTGGCCACACCAAGGCTTAGCTGATGCACATTCAGTTGCTATATGGCACAATTTATAGCAAAGCACTCTCAATTATACATTTTGTGCATAGTCATTATCAGTTGTACGAGAATAGGGATAAGCACAATTGAGAGTTCTTATTTTCCTGAAAATTCTGTAAAAATCTGAAGATTTCTTCAGAATGTAACCATTTTGGTAAAACACCTTGGAGTCAATCTGGACAGCAAAATTAATATAGTTTTTGGTGTTATTTTGGAGCTGTTCTTGTGTTTAAAAAAGTTTCAGTCCTGAACCATGTCAGGCGTCTGTTGCACAGCTTGAATATTCCCCACCTTCTGAAAGGAATATACTGTCCTCACCATCTGTATTCAACACCCTTGTTGGAACCAGTTTGTTATGGTTGGTTGGTTGTGGGAAATCAGCTGTGGCCAGGGGCGGACTGACAACTCATGGGGCCCCCAGGCAGTAGGGGATCATGGGGCCCCTGTGTCCTCGCCCACACTCAAACCACACCCAAAAAAGCCCATGAAAGGTACCAGGGGCATCTCATGGGACCCCCTACTGACCCTGGGCCCTCGGGCAATGCCCCAGTGCTCGAATGGTCAGTCCGCCCCTGGCTGTGGCTTAAGTGTGCAATGTAATTTTAACTATGTACAAGACATATTTTAGAGGTGATATGTGAATAAAGGAACATTGATTTTATCTTTTGTGTACCGAGTTTTTGTGCCTAAAAAGTCCACTCAATATCTTTTTCTTCTAACATACTCTGACCCTTAGGGTTGACTCTAACAACACTCCAAAATTTAAATTAACTCAAGAAGAAACACTTAAAGTGTTACTAAACCCAGGACCCTGCATTCACTCTATCTGGTCTCCCACAGTACACAGAACATGGAAGTGCAATTATTTTAGTAAATATAAACTGCTAAATACATTTTCTCATCAGCAGTATATAGCAGTCTTGTGAATTCTATAAGTGTCCAGCCCACCACTAGCTAAAGCTTGTAGGAGGAGTTTTCTTTATGCTCTAGGAGGATGGAAATCCCCTGACCTCTGTCTGGACAGTGCTGATTGGCCCTGTGCTAATCACATGCACTCTCACAAGAAAAAAAACCTCTCTAGCAATACACACCAAACTGAGCATGTGAATGCCTATGGTTCAGTCTGAAGATAAGAGGAGGTCACTTGAAAAAGGGGAGGAATAGAGAAGAAAGGATCTAACAGCCTTTTTACACAATGCAGAGGCTTAACCCCTTAGGTTCCATAGTGAGTATAACAAGCATGCTTTACTGCATCTACAGACTGATTTTACTGTTGTGGGTTTAGCAACACTTTAACTGTTTTATGTTTTTTTCACCTAAAGAAAAAAATACAGACAGTGAAATAAAACCCTAAAAAAAAAAAAACATGAGATGCAATAAACTAAAATACAGGAAATACACTCCTAGAAAAAACACCCTCTAAAAATAAAAAATAAGTAGATTTTTTTTTCAAGTAAATTTTGCCAGTCAGACATTTTGCAGTGAAATTTATTTTAAAAAAATTACACTACTCAGTTGCAATAGCAGGAAGCAGCTCCTGCACTAGATAACAAGCAATCATGTCTATGCTCATGTACCTATATACATACAAAGTATACTTACAAATGTTTTTTGAAACATGAATACACATAGAAAATATTGTTTAATTTCAGACAGATGTTTTTTTTACAAGCACATCTAAAAAGTCATTGAGAATACTCTATATTCCCTTTAACTTGACGCAAGCAAAACAGAATATCAACTATAGATCTGGCACAAAGTGCCATTTTATGACATTTTTTGAGTCCATCAGTGCCAAACAGAATTGCTTTGTATTGCACTGCTAGAATGGTAGGAATCTTATGTCTGTCCCTTGTCATTTACTGACAAATGGGAAATTTTAGCTTCTCATTATAAAAACAGCAGCGAAGCCTGGCAGCATTCAAGACTGAAGCTGGCACATGTACAATAGTGGTATTACTAACAGTTTCTTCAAATACAGAAGTGAATGAGAAAACAGTGTTAGCACTCAGTTGGTTTACTAATTTCTGCCATAGTCTGTTTCCAGTCAGTGATTGGAACAAATTAAAAAAAAATACATATATTTATTTTGCCCAATTCTTCTTCGCTGTATGTAATCAGCCCCTCCGGTTTGCCTGCAGGTATCAAGCTGCTTAAATCACCTATGCTAATTACTTGGCATAGAACACCAGAAAGCTGAAAACTGCAATTAAGTAGAGATTAATTAAAATTCAAATGCTGAAAAAAAAAATATTGCTTTTCCATTTGTAATGCACAAGAAAGTTTATGAGCTTGCGGAAACTTGCTAGCATGCAGTGTTTCAAATTTAGCGTAGAATATAACGTAGCTGCTCAACTCAAGCAAAATGTGACAATATAGATATGAAATGATGTTTGTAGAAAGCTTACAATGGAAGAAAGTTATATATTCTTTCTAGTGTGACTCCACCCAAAACAGCATTGCAGAGTAGAGTAATATAAACCAAAAGGATTTCAGTTCTTATATGATAGTAAACGTGTGTGCGCATTGAGGTGCCCACTCCAACTTTTATTGCGCAAAATGAAAACTACGCCAGGCATAGAAAATAATAGGCGTGGAAAAAATTGTGTTGGATAATTGATAGATAGACAGATAGATAGATACAGTAGGTAGAAAGATAGATATATATATAGATAGACAGACAGACAGACAGACAGACAGACAGATAGATAGATAGCAGTGGTGTCCCGAGGCAGGTGCCCCCCACACTGGGTGGAACCTACCGCACGAGTTGACACCGGACCTGCTCCATGAAAAGGTAAGTTGTAAAGCAAGCTGACGATCCCCGCAGGATGGATCGAAACTGCGGATTGAGCATAATGGATCGGACTCCGATCCATTATGCTCCCCAATCCGCAGATCCAATCCATTCTGCTGGGATCATCGGCTTTCTTTACAACTTACCTTTTCGTGGAGCAGGTCCGGAGTCACCCCGTATAGGTTGCATCCCGATGATCCCCCTAGGATGGTTTGGATCTGCAGATTGAGCATAGTGTATCGCAGTGTCATTCATTATACTCCCCAATCCGCAGATCGATCCATCCTGCGGGGATCGTCCGTTTGCTTTACAACTTACCTTTTCATGGAGCGGGTTTGGTGTCACCCCGTATAGGTTGATGATCCACTCTGCGGGGATTATCGCACCAACACTAAGGACGCCCCTGGTAGATAGTGACTAAGTTTTAGATACATACTAAGTGTAGCTAAGGTACTAAAGGATAAGTTCACCTTTTGGACAAAAGTAATAAATGCACATTTTTTGTAAGTAAAAAAAATTTACATTTACTATTTTTGTCCAAAGCAGCCTGTAAAGCATTGCACCAGTGATCATTAGATTGCTGATGCCATGCAGGTCTTCTACAGACCTGTCAAAATATCTGCTTGCCATACGGGATCTACAGTCAAGCAGATATACTGACAGAAAGCTTCAATGAACTACCACGGCACTCCACAGCACCATGGTAGTTTATTGAAAACTACAAGCAGACATTCGCTAAGGCCTTGTAGGCAGGGACTTGTAGGCACTCATTCACAGAGCACTATGAATGAGTGACACGGCCTTGTGGGTGGAGCCCCACATGGCCGTGCTGTTTTCAAATATGACAGCTAGTACGGGGAAACTTCTCCCCATACTATCTGTCAGAGGAAGGGGGGGGGGGGCGCAGCGGCACGTCTGCGGCTATACGAACATGTTACATGTTACACCCTAAAAACAGATGGAACATGGAACATGTTCCAAGGGTGAACTTATTCTTTAATCAAATGAAAATAAAAGACAAATACACATTTACAAGTGTGTTCCAAAAATGCATATATTCCGAACCAGCAAGTGACAGCCTCTCCAAAGCCATGTCTAGCCGATTCCCTGTAGCGTTTTGTACTGGATCAGCATAGCAAACTGTAAACAGCACAAAGAGCTCAGGGCAGAAGCTGGACATCAGCAGGACACAATGATGACACAACACGTTTCGGGTAGTACTACTACACCTTTATCAAATCTATCATGTACTCAGCAGCAGCTGAATGAAAATGCTCTGGCCACCATATTGATGTCAGGAGTCAGCAGCAGAGATGGCCAGATCTACGTAGCTGCTCTAGGAAACTGTAACCAGACTATCAATATAGAAAAGTCAATTTAATGCCTAACTAAGTAACAGGAAGCCTAACTACAAACTAACCATATGCAACATGTACAAAAATGGGAACATGGATAAATAGGATAAACTGGAGATGCAGGGAACAGATGGGAAGGGGGAATCAGGACTGGGACCAGGTACAAGGGGAGCATAAGTTTGGAAGCAGGTTACAGGATGCTGCGTAAGTGCAAGATGCAAGAGCAGGAAGGTACACAGTATCTGGCAGCAAGCAATGCAAAACACTGACACAAGGTGTAACAGCAGAAGAGGGACTAAATATCCTCCCAGCAGCCAGCATTAGGTAGAGACTGATTACTGGGATCTGCTGGCTGCTGGGAGACATTCGTTGGTGGACATTGGAACTACAGATTTTTTGCACTAGGAAGCAGTAGCTGATCCAGGTCCTGACAACTGGGGAAGCTCAAATGCATTGTGCTGATCCAGGACAGGAGGCTATCTAAAGTGGATACTAGACTTGGCTGGTGTCTTCCCTCCCCACAGGTACTCACTTACCTCCTACTTCCCATGCAGTCTACAGCCCAGCCTGTCAAAATCTATGCCAGCTGGCCACACCTGTGCACTACTGTGTAAAGAC